GTAAAGCACGGAAATTATTGCTCCGATAGGTCATCTGAACTGCGTTAACCAACGGCTTCTTCTAAGTAGACGCTTTGACTGAAATTAGCAAGACATCACCACCTTCCTAGGACTCATTATCAACAACAGTGATTACATCGATGATTTACTGGCACAAAAATTTACTTATCGATCCACGAAATCTCAATTGGACCAACAAACACAGTCAGGCAAACAGACCTGGGATGCCAGGCATTTGGCAAACTCTATTGCTTCCATACCCTTTTACACAGAATAAGATATCGTATTATTGAAAACAGGTCAACTTATATCTACTTGCAGGTTGACAGTTCGTCTTATCTAGTAAGAAACGGATGAAACCGTCAACTACTCATTATGTGGTTTCCTGGTTAGCTGCAAGATGACCTCAGTTCGATTGTCGGCAGATTTAATTTGAAGCGAGGACTCCGAAACCACGTTTTGAAGAGGTATCTTCGAAACAATGAAGTTCTTTGTCATGTGCTACTCACAAGGTTGCTGAAAACCCCTCGACAGCCCACAACCGGTTTCGCCCTTTTTGGGTAGGTGTAGTCCCCGAGTTTCCGTCAACCTTATGTTCTACTTGAAACCAGATTGCAGGAAATTAGCGAGATACACTCACTGGCAAACTAATTTGGTTTTTTGGAGAGACTCACCTGGAACCCAGCTGAATCGCTCGTTTGTGATGTTTCTAGGCATTACGAATGTACATGTATCGCGATATCTCCAATATCGTAGCGACTGAAACATGAGGCGGCCTGGTGCAGCACATTCAGTTGCCTGGGAACATCATAAACGAGAGATTCAGCTGGGTTCCAAGTGAGTCTCTTGCAAAACCAAATTAGTTTGCGAATGTGTGTATTTCGCTAATGAAATTCTTTATTTAAAATTGAAAAAAATCGGGACCGTGTCCGTGTTTTTCACAGGGCGATTTCTCGAAATAAGGAATACGGTAGATGTATTAACTGGTGCTCTTTCCTAGAGAGGTCATCCTCTCAAGTGAAAATTTTATTTGGTTGTTTTAAGGAGAGTAACCTCTTGAAGGACGGAGGCACATAATTGTGAACTTTTATAGTGTTTTACTCTGTGGGTCAAACAACTACAAGATAAATTCTGTTCTGCCAAATCAGTGAATCATTTTGAATCCCGTCACAGGGGTTGACTAGCCTTGAAACCTCTGATCCTGTGTACGCTTGATTTACTTTTTTGACCTCAGGTTGCTCTTTGTCGTTGTCTTGCTTGAGTTGACGACGTTCACAACACCGTAAAGATATTTTTTCCCACTCATTCCACGCAGCATAACTTTTCTGCCCCAACAAGTCTCGTCGGTTTGACACGACATCAGGTGAACAAAAACAAACAGGAGGTAACATGACCGAGTCACAACTCACCAATTCCCGTAACAATAAGTCTAGTCCTAATTCCCCATGTTGTTTTGCTGGAGGCTTAACGGTAAGCAGATAACTGAACTATACACTTACCGTTGGCTCGTGAAATAAATTAGCAAAGACCCGTTGTTTTAATCCAACCCATGACAAACCTGACGGTTTTCAGAGCCCAATAAACGTCAAAAGAAGTCCACTGCAAGGCTTTAAAACCAGTGCGCTTCTGCTATCACGTGACCCACTTTACAATGTCGTTGATAAATGCAGGTACTCTGTTTATGTGAGTAGGAACACAAGACACAGAGAAATTTCCTACCAAATAACACATTTTTATTCTTATCTCATACCCCTACTTTTCTGGAACTTATCACATGCATGAGAATGACTGCAAATGGGGAAAACCACGGGTACCTCAGGAAAACTTTATGTGGACCCCTAAGAAGGTCCCGTGCTTGCATGAGCGCGCAGGCATCTGCTTTACTACAAGACATCTACTATGATTAGTGTTCTATTTTGAAAGAATCAATTTTGATGTACATATCGTAAGGTTTTGCAGATACCAGCATTGTTCATCATCCGGTTGTTAGTACAAGATGCAGCTGTGCGACGCCGTCACTACTGTGGGTGAATAAACGGAAAGCAAGTCAACAAAACCCTCAGGGCCCCTGTTAATAGAGAGAGAAGTCATTTAAAAGTTTGCAGAAATTTGCTCAAGAACAGTGTTCTCATTAGATCGTGGTCGCTAAATTAGGAAGAGAGTTTCTCTAAAGAGGATATGTTCAGCCTTCCGTACTGCGCACTCGACTGCTTCAGCTTGCCCACTGGCCTACAGACCGATCGATGGCACATCACGTGACCACCTAACGGACGTGCATGATTCACTGGTGCTAAGGGCGGAACTCCGAGGAAAAATAGTGTATCAAAGTAGAGGCACGCATTTCTCTTTGCACTCAAAATCATCCCACCGTGAAACGTTTTTTGTAGACTAGTTTACGTTTCTTTGATGAATTACCAAAAAAATGTGATGGTCTGAGAGCGAGGTGAGAAAGTAGTCAAGTCTCCTTTCACCGCTTACTGGCATACTTTTTATCACAAGCGACCTATCTAATGCGCGTCCTCCTAGACTAAGAAGGGAGAGAATTACTTTCATTTGCAAATCAATTTGGTTTTCACGAGAGACTCGACTGAATCTCTCGTTTATGATATTCTACAACTGAATGTGCTGCATACAGGCCGCCTCATGTTTCAGTTGGCACGATATTCGATATATCGCAGTATATTTTTTCATGAAGGTAACTACTCACAAGGTTGCTGAAAACTCTTCGACACCCCACGACCGGTTTCGCCCTTCCACTTCGGGCTCATCAGGTAGGCGCAGTCCTCGAGTTTCCGCCAATCTTATGTTCTACTTGAACCAAAATTGCACTGTTTTCGAGAAATACACTCACTTGCAAATCAATTTGGTTTTCACGAGAGACTCAATTGAATCTCTCGTTTATGATATTCTACAACTGAATGTGCTGCATACAGGCCGCCTCATAACATAAGGAAACTCGGGGACTGGACCTACCTGATGAGCCGGCCCCTAGAAGGGCGAAACCGGTCGTGGGCTGTCGAAGAGTTTTCATCAACTTTGTGAGTAGTTTCCTCTATGAAAAAAGGTTACATTTAGCTAAGAGACGCCGAAAACGGCTAAGAAGTTTTCAGCAACTTTATGAGTAGTTTCATTCATGAAAATTTACTGCGATATCTGGGATATCGTACGAATTGACACATTGGGCGTCTTTTTTGCTGCACAAATTGGTATGCAAATGAGTGTATCCATCGAAGTTACATCAGGATGTGTGCTCACGTCATCCATGAGGATAGATGACCACTCTGATCAAAAGAATGTGGCTGTAATCAAATTGTACGAATGGCAAGAGGCCTACAACTAAAATAAACCTTTTCTTGTGCCATCATGGGTGACATCTTTCCAGTTCATTTTCAAAGCCATCCTTAAGGTGTTTTAGAATCAACGACTAACAAAGGTAAGTTGAGAGATATTCAAAGAATGTGATCTGGTCATCTGTTACCATAAACCGACTTTTAATGAGTATTTGTCATTAAGACAGCAACGGAACCACCGTATTTGTTATAGCGTCACGAGAAAAGGTGTTTCAGTGTTTGAGAGACCAAGTGGAGGCTGAAATATCTTGGATTTATGGTAAAAAGTCATGTAACCTAAAAATCGAATTCAATCGCTGTGCAGAAAGCTAAAGTTTTTGTGTCTTTTATACTCAACGTAAACATCCTGAATAGTTTCGAGGAATCTTTGGGATCAACGTTACTGGCGGAGCGGAGAAAAGCGCTTTCAATCAATTAGAAAAAGTTTGGAACCGCTCGATAAGTCATTGTTTCAGAGGACTTCAGGGGGACTTGTATATTACCTATTGTCTGCCAAGCTCTTCTGAGAAAAGCACTGAAAGCTCTTTTCGTGAAATTCCTCATTTTGAAGAGCCATGCTGGACCTAGACTATATCAGTATACTTTAGAGGAGAATGTCGGTAGCTCAGATAGCGTAGATGATCGTTGGCTTGTTCGCTGAGCTGGGCAATTTGGTTGTAAACGTTTCATCACCAATCGAGGTGATATCATCAGTGCGTAGTTGTGCGTAGCGGTGGGTTAGCGGTTGTGCACAACCAAATTGTGCAACCAAATTGCCCAGCTCAGCGAACAAGCGAACGACCATATATCAGTATACGTTCGGCAGGAACTCATGTACCCTGGTCTCGTTGTGCCCTTGCGATCTTGACTAAAGAATGCCCGCAATGGTCGAGTTGGAGGGAAATATAGTTGTCATGGCATCCATGCAGAACAACTCGTTTTCATTCGGAAAAAAACAAGGACTGACCTTGCGTGACACCTTTTACTGTTCTCTTATTCAATGACAAGCTCACAAAACTCGTCTTGTGAACATGTCGACTCTCACCAACTCTGTAAGTGATCGACAAAAGAATATGGGTGAGATGGCTGAAGTAGTTAGAGCGCGAATTTACTGACCGGAAGGTCCGTGGTTCGAACCCGACCTGT